AGAAAAAAATACATAAACTTTGTACAGAAAGCCTGATCACTTATATAACTATGCGGCCAACTTCTGAAGACCTTGCAATTTAGCCCACCTGCATGAAAAGAAGAAAAAGGTGGTCATTAATTTTCACATTCACGTTTTCTCCTTCTGCACGCGTCCATTCTCCGTGGACTTATTCAATCCAAACACTATAAAAACATAGAAAAATGCGAAAATCACAACCCTACAAAGATAAAGAACAATAGGCTAAAACACATAATAAACACAAAGCATATGTGTATAGAGCTGCAGTGAGGATATTACTGCAGAAAGACTGCTGAAGAAAACCAGTAGCCATTGGAGGGCGTAGAAGTTTGAAGGAGACGATCAGAATCTTTTTTATGAACAATTCAAATCCTGCCTGTGGTTTTTCACAGCTTTCTTGAACTGTTTATGTAACTGCATGAAAAATTTCTGCCAGTTTAACTCTTCTGCACACTGCACAGTTCAAGAAAGCCGTGGAAAATCGCAAGGAGGATCATCTCTATGTGTACTGATTTTTTTGTAAGGGAAAGAAACTGATGAGGCGTGTAGGAGATTTGATGAATTGAGATGTTATTTATAGAACAAGATGGTCAGCATTTTCTGATGATCAACCAATCAAATTTCAGTGCATCAGCACCAGCACACAATTTGGACCCACCACTTGGCATTGCCATTTTGGCCATTGCTGAATCAAAAGCAGGGTTTAGGGTGAAATTTGATCACTTTTGCAGGTTGAGTTTCTAGTACCAGATCTCTTTCTATGTGCTATCAGCTAAAAAGGATGCATGAAAGTGGCATACCTAAAACTTTAGCACTAAATGCAATATCCTTTTTTCCCCCCGTTTCATGCAAAATTTCCACAAAAGGTGGATTTTGCTTTTGCTTGATCAATTTGATAACAAACTCGTTATTCACATCGATTAGTGCATAAATTTATTGAGACATAGATAAGTGGTTCGATCATGCGTTCAACGTGAATCACGATATTTATAGGGTCATTTCAAGAATGCTTCTCATGTGGGTCTCATGTATTACGTGTTTTTTATAAAACCCAAAAGTTTTTTAAAAAAAAAATTAAAGGCTTGACTCGAGAGATGGAGACATAAGGATGCGATAAAGTCCTCGGTGGGTGAGTATCTCTCTAGATTGGCAAAGCCAAAAACCCCCTTGAAGAGGAACTATGACTGAGGATGATTTTGGCAATCCGAAATTCACCCGTGTACATGAGATACCATGAGGCTATTGAATGTGATTTTGGAGTGCCAAAATCATCACCGATTTAACCGTGTTAGATATATAAACATGTTATTCATGCATTTATGTACTAATATTCCTTTATAATGCAAAAATGCATGATTATATATCTAACATGATTTGTGGCTGTGGAATGTGATTAACATTTTGAATGTTTTTATTCTTTAATAAGCTGAAGGGAGTAATTTAAAATCCCAAAGAGAAAATTTTACCAAAAAAGAAGGCACAGAAGAAAAGCTTCACAGATTTGCTTTTCTTATGTTTTGCTCTTTTTTCAGATATAAATTGTCGATGGTTCTTTTGTGGCTTGACAGCCATGGAAGTTAGTGCCGTTTATAGCTAAATTGAATTTTCTTTTATTGGTTTCAATGTATTGGAATCAATCTTTACGTCCAATTATTTATTGGGATTTAGGAAAGACTAGCAAGGGTGCCCGCACTTTGCTGCGGGATTGAAAATTGTACAACGGATGTAGAAGTTCTAAAACAATTATATATATGTATATACAGTAGACAACATTGTTTACGTACATGTGCAAATTTATTTACAACTCTATCAACAATAAGGAACAAAATGGGTGTCCATGGGCGGAATGAAGCTTATGGGTATAAATTGTCAAATTCCATACATATCAAACTTCATTTAAGAAATTGAAAACCATAAAGAATAAAGTGATAAAGTTCACAATATGAAACCGTTGCTTCACTAAATAAGCAGTGCCAACAAAATCAATGTTTTTTTTTGCTGCAAAAGAACGAAATAGAAAGCAGGGGGAAAACTCTGCCGAAGGAAGGAAGAAGGGACAATGAAAGGATGGAAAGATGGGCTAACCAACCCCAGCCGAAGCTAGGGTCGGCGCCCCCTGATTTGCACTGAAATAAGGCCCTCAGACAAACACTGAGGAAAACTCTCAAGCAGAGAGAAGGGCTCTCACAAAAGAGAGAAAAGTGAATGATGAAACTTGTTCGGCCTCGTATTTAAAACCCATTTCACGTTTGTGGGTTTTCGATACTGCACAATTATACATGGAAAACAAAATGGCTATTAAAAGATTCCTAAAAAAAATTCTACTCGTTTTCGTACAGTTTCTCTAAAGCCAAACAGAAACCAACAATGAAGGCGCATTCTGAGAAAGTACTGATGAAAGCACATAGTACACATAGGCTTGGCATTTTGGACCCAACCCGTTAACCCGATCCGACCAAACCCGTTAATATTTGTATTTAAGTGGATGCTTAACGGGTCGGGTCGTTAACGGTTGAACCCGTTAACAACCCGTTAAATAACGGGTCACTTTGGGTCAATCCGTTAGATCCGTTAACATCCGTTAGCACCCGTTAGTTGATGATATTTTAGTAATTTTAGTAAAATCTTAATGACAAAAAATAAACTTTATGCAAAAAATAAAAATAATAATAATTGTTAACGGATGTTAACTGGTGAAACGGGTGACCCGTTAGCTTAACGGGTCGGGTTCGGATGACCCGTTAGCTTAACGGGTTAGGTTCGGATGACCCGTTAATTTAACGGGTCGGGTTCAACCCGACCCAAACCCAATAAACCCGACCCGTTTACAGGTCTAAGTACACATACCTCCTTAAACCTTTCCTCCTTTTGCTCAGCCTGTATTTGGAATATATTATAACTTAGGCATAAACTCAGAAATAAATCAGTGAAGAATGAAACTCAAAAGTAAATCGCAGCAATGATTTGTTAATGTCGTGGGTTTCAATTTGTTCGTAGAAGTAGGGCGAGTATTGGAAAATGTTTATTCTTGTAAGTGGATAATCGCACCAAAGATGAGAAGAGTTAAAATGCCAATCCTCTAGAGAATAAGAGTTAGTATATGAATGACTTGATCAATAGAATAAGATACTTGTAACTCCTAGCTTTTAGTATTAAACTCTTAACAAAATAATTAATAGATTAATGACTCGATGAGTGGAATGAGATACATTTATAAGAATGTTTAAAGCCCAAATGCTATCAAACCAACTCTAACTTTGAGAAAGTAGTGGAAAAGTGAATTATCAAAATAAGAAGATTTAAACTAAATAAACATTGTTCTCAACATTATTAGACTTGTAGGAAAAAGAAGTAATGGTAAGAAAAAGTTTATCGTGAGACTTGCTCTTAGGTGTTCATTTGGACTATGACGACTGTGAATAATCTTGTGAGACAAAAGAAAAAAATGAGATTAAAAAAGCAGAAAAAAAGGATATATCAAATTTGTAATTACATGAAAGATAAACTAAATTAAACATTCTTCTCAACATTATTAGACTTATAAGAAAAAGATGTAATAGTAACCTGAAGAGAAGAAGTTTATAGTGAGTCTTGCTCTTAGGTATTCACCAGACTTGTTCCTAGCTCGAGCTGTTTCTAAAAAAGGAAAAATTGACATTATTTTGCAATAAATTGCATCGTAAAAATTAAATATGCACGATAACTTCAAAACTGAGTTTTGGAGAGAGAGAGAGAGAGAGGTGAAGTCACCTTGTGACCAGAGACCAGAGGCGGAGCCACAGTGGGGTCAATGGGGTCGCACGACCCCCTGGAAGCCATGGAAATAACCTTAGGGGTCCCTTGGAGCTGTTGGTGCGACCCCTTGGAGTTGCTGGTGCGACCTCTTGGAGCTGCACACCACGTGTTCGATGAAATGTCGGAAAGAAGAAAAAGACTTCGGTTGCAGGTTGAAGAAGAAGGAAGGGCGCGCGCGCGAGAAGAAAAAGACTTCGGTTGCAGGGTCTGTGTAGAGTTTCGTTGTGTGCACCTCGTTAGTTTCATAGTTGTAAGCCTGGCTCTTTCCTTATCATACTATTTGTACTTGCAAAGTTTGCATTTTTTTTCAATTTGAGATCTAAGATTACATTGATGCTGATTAGTTATGGTATTTTTGGTTGTCAGGGAAAGTGAAGGCACCTTTTAGTATGGTAACTATCGGCGAGAGGCTGATGACTTGCACTCTGTGGTCGAATACTTCTCTAGGGCGAAACGTGCACCCAGGGCAATTCTTGGACACAGTAAAGGTAACGTTGGATTGTTTTGCACAATCGTTGTGTGAGATTTTACTCTCATAAAATAGAGGACAAGGATTTCCTTCTAACTGCAAGAAGGAAGGATGCCCGCAATGTCAAAATCAAGAGGACCAAGGATGCTGTCAAGTTCAAGGTTCGGTGCTCCAAGTACCTTTACACACTTTGTGTGTTTGATTCCGAGAAGGCCGACAAGTTGAAGCAATCTCTTCCTCCATGTTTGAACGTTCAGGACCTTTGAACAAGGATTTTGGAGTAGCTGGTCGCGCTATCCTACCAAGACCCGATGAAATGACGATATGCATGTCGTTTATGTTAAAAAAAAATTCCGCGCTGCGCGCGCTATCCTTATTGACCCCCCAAACATTATTTCCTGGATCCGCCACTGCCAGAGACCAAATCCATTTTTTCCTGATTACCCAAGTGGCAATCCATGAGCGGTAGGTCTCGGGTTCGAGACTTGGGAGCAGCCTCTCCATAAATGGGGGTAAGGCTAGCCGACATTCACCTCTCCCAGACCCTGCGTAAAGCGGGAGCCTTGTGCACTGGGTACGACCTTTTACCCAAGTGGCAATCCAACTTGAGAAATCCTATAATCAACACCCAAATAAAGTTCAATCAAATTTCAGCATGAAATATTAAATCAGAAAAGCCCTGGAATGGAAGCAAAAAAGATTGAAACTTGCCTAATGTGATGTGTACAGTTTCAACATTTGCTTGTGAAAATATACTGATGTGACATGCCGTAAGTTGAAGTGACATCGGTCGTTGACTGCCAGGTAGGTAAAATCCACGCGATATCTTGCAAACTATGATCTAAATTATTGCATCAAAGTTGTATCCTAAAAGAAAATTCATACTTCTATATGAACCCAATGTATGACTTTTGCATATACCTTGGTGGATTCATTCTCTGGATGAGTTGTACTCATCATCCACATTATATGAAAAGCTCATTCTAATTTCTGCAGTAAGTCACAGAAAAAAAAATGAAAAAAAAATTAACAAAAGGTTGGAGAGAATAAAAAAGAATCAATTGGAGCGATGAATAACCATTCTAACCAGGGTGCTTAAGGACGGTGTTGATGTCATCTATGTCAGTAGGTCCTTCCAACTTTGCCCCGATCATGCATATCAAAGAAATTAAAAAGAAGAAAATCATCCAAATATATAAGACTTTCAGTTTACATACATCCCAAATTAAGGTTGCACCATCACTATGATTATGGAAATTCAACTTCCAACATCCTATAAATAATTAAACGTAAAAATAATTAAGAGAGAGAGGTAGGAATAATGCATACCACGGAAGAGTAAAACCTGAAATTGAAAACAAAACCAAATTAAACAGCCATATGTAGCTGAATTGAACACCCACATGCAGGATCCGACGGTACAAACAAAACCCACAAAATCACAGAAGAGGAATTTGAACAGAAAACCCATATGCAAATCCAAAATCACAAAAACAATTGAAACACCTATATTGAGAAAGTCATAAAACCCACCAGGAAACCCCAGTTTTTCTAGGTAAAAAATTACTCCGAATCCAACTGAAAAACCGAAGAAACTTGTACTAGTTGGGTGGTCTTTTCCGCAAGAAAGTTTGTGAGAGAGATCGCAAGGTCGTGGAGCGAGAGAAGGCGGCGTTTGAGAGCGAAAGAAGCAGAGAATTGTGAGAAAGAAAAGCAGAAATGGAAGGAAAAGTCGAGAAACAACTGATGCACGGGATGATCGACGCATGGATCGAAGAAACAGCAAGAGAAACAGAGGAAAAGCCAAGGGCAAAAGCGTCCGGCCACTAGTCATCAACAGTACCCCAAAACTGAATTTTAGTATATAGGACTTAGCAACGGTGCCCGCGCGATGCTGTGGGTTTAAAATTGTAGATGTTCAAATCTATTTACAACTGTTACCAATTTGAATGAGATGTACAAAGAATTTGTGCAAGCTGGACACATGGAATATCAATAGTGACATAATTTTTTCTTAAGACATTGGAAAAACTAAGTTAAAACTTGTAATCACACGACTCTTCAATCACATGACACAAAACACAACTACTGTTCACAAACATGTATTAGCCAAGAATGGAAAATCACCAACGATGAAATGTGGTAACAAATCAATAACCTCACTTATATAGCTTTAGGATTAACTATGCTAATTTGTTTATGTAAGTGATCTGTCTGCCCACATTTTTCCTTTTTTTTAGCAGACAATAGACATATTTTGTTTTTTTAAAATGTGCGATGACATATAATACTGTAACAGAATGATGAAACAAAACAGGTTAATTTTTTAGCACAACATGGGTTAAAATTACCTACATTTTACATATGCAGATTAAGGGAAGTGGTGGCAAACCTTGTAATTTGTGCAAGTTGATCATCTGCAATATCAACAGTGACATAATTTGTTGTTAAGGCATTGGAATAATTATATTAGAACCTGTAATTACATGACACTCGAATCACATGATAGAAAACCACAGAGAATAGAAATTGAAAAAAAAGAAGTTGAACACATTAAGTCTTCACAAAACTCCCAAGAATGAAAAATAAGCAAAAATACAGATTACCAATGAAGAAATGAGGAAACCTATCAGCAACCTAAATTGTACGCTCATTTTAAATAAGTATGATAGAGAGTTAACATTATAATCAAATTTGATGAGCCCAACTGGAGCAAATTGAATACTAACATTCAAAGTGGATTAAAAAGATGAGAATATGCTTTAAATAAGTATTAAGTCTGTATTTATGTGTAGTACAATTGTGTGGGATTAGAAATTGAATATACTATCTTATAACTTAATGATCATGCAAGGAAAATTACCGTGAGATTGTAAGGAGCATGGAAAAGTAATCTAAACAATTAACATTACTGATTAGTAGTTAACTTCTTAGCATTTTCATTGTAAAAAGATGGGAAAAAGGATTTACACATGGTCTTTATAGATTTGGAAAAAGCGTATGATAGGGTCCCAAGAGACATTCTTTGGAGGATTTTAGAGAAGAAAGGAGTACGAGTAGCATATATCCAAGCTATAAAGGATATGTATGAAGGAGCAAAGACTGCCGTAAGAACTCATGAAGGACAAACCGAAAGCTTTCCCATAACTGTAGGATTACATCAAGGCTCATCCTTAAGTCCTTACCTTTTTGCGTTGGTAATGGATGAGTTAACAGGACATATTCAAGATGATATTCCTTGGTGTATGCTTTTCGCAGACGATATAGTGTTGATAGATGAAACTCAGGAAGGGGTAAATGCAAAGCTTAACCTTTGGAGAGAAGTGTTGGAATCTAAAGGTCTTCGCCTAAGCCGATCAAAGACAGAATATATGGAGTGCAAGTTCAGTGCAAATGGAGGCCAAAACGAGTTAGGGGTGAGGATCGGAGATCAAGAAATACCAAAGAGCGACCGTTTTCGTTACCTAGGATCTATCTTGCAAAAGAACGGAGAATTAGATGGAGATCTCAACCATAGAATACAAGCTGGATGGATGAAGTGGAAGAGTGCATCCGGCGTGTTGTGTGACCGCCGTATGCCACTGAAGCTCAAGGGAAAATTTTATAGGACGGCAATAAGGCCAGCGATGCTGTATGGCACAGAATGTTGGGCGGTGAAGCATCAACACATACACAAAATGGGTGTAGCGGAGATGAGGATGCTTCGTTGGATGTGTGGGCACACGAGAAAGGATAAGATTAAGAATGAGGATATCTGGGGTAAAGTAGAAGTAGCCGAAATTGAAGGCAAGATGAGAGAAAATCGGTTACGGTGGTTTGGACATGTGCAACGAAGGCCTACTGACGCTCCGATTAGAAGATGCGACTATGGGACAGAGGTTCAGGGCCGAAGGGGTAGAGGAAGACCTAGAAAAACTTTGGAAGAGACTCTAAGAAAAGACTTAGAGTACTTGGATCTAACGAAGGACATGACACAGGACCGAGCACAATGGCGTTCTAAGATTCATATAGCCGATCCCACTCAGTGACTTGGATTTCCCAAGTCTCCAATCGAGAAGTTTTCCTCACTCGGGAAATTAAGGGAAACACTACCCCAACCTACATGCTCCACTCAGAAAGCTTCAACATACAAGCTTCAACAAAAGAAAATTCAAAGAACTTAGCGAAGAAGGTTTTGGTGTATTTAACACAATACGTTGAAATGAAGGAAAAACTTATTTATTGATATCCCCGATAAGCTACAAATGTGTACATATACATGAGTCAAAATAAACAAACAAGAGGGAGCCTTCACAAGGGTTGCTTAGGAGAAGTCTCAGCAGTCGGTAGAGCCCCAGAAAGAGAAGGCACCGGAGGGGGATCATTCGGAACCTCAGTACTGGACAGAACCCTAGAAGGAGGAGGCATCAGAGGTTGATTATTTGGAGCTTCATTACGCGGTACAGCTCCAGAAGACGAAGGCAATAAATGCCTTTGGAACAAACCCACAAATCTCTGATGATCAAGTAAAACCTGACCATCAGTTTCCTTCATCTGGTCAAGCTTCCTCTTCATGTTTGTAGCATAGTCATGTGCGAGCCGGTGCAACTGTTTATTCTCATGCTTGAGCCCTCTAATCTCCTGTTTGAGACTCATCACCTCAGCCGCCAATGATTCAACTTGGCGGGTTCGAGCAAATAGGCGTTGGGCCATATTAGACACAGAACCTGCACACTGAAACACTGAGAGCCAGCGAATCCTTAACAGCTAACTCATCAGACCGTTTGGAAAGTAGTCTGTTATCTTTGGGAGTGAGAAGGTTCCTGGCCACCACCGCAGCAGTCATATCATTCTTCATCACGAAATCCCCAACGGTAAGAGGACCAGTAGGGGAGACGAAGGATGGGCGTCATATGTTGTCTGGAGAAGGCGGGGTTGCCTCTTCAACAAGGTTCAAGTCAAAACGACGGTCGGAGGGGCCAGACATTTTCAAAGGTGTTGAAGAGAGAAGAGGTTGGACAAATCAAGATCTTAGAAGTGCAAGAATGGAACTTCTACTGGTGGAGATTCAAGTGTGCTTTGGAACTTAATGCCAGCCCCTATAAAAATCTGCACTCGACGGATCTTCAGAAATCGAAGAGGCGCCTGCTCAGAAATCGAAGAGGCGTTTGCTTTCTCAAAAGCTGGGCTGCTTAGAGACCACGAGGGTTGATCTCAGAAATCGAAGAGGCGTTTGCTTTCTCAAAAGTTAGGCTGCTCAAAGACCACGAAGGCCGATCTCAGTAATCGAAGAGGCGCTCGCTTTCTCAAAAGCTGGGCTCCTCAGAGACCACGAGGGCTGATCTCAGAAATCGAAGAGGCACCTACTTTTCCAGCCTTGTCAGCACCTGTCACACGCACACTCAGCTTTGCGGAAATTATGGGCATTCTGTCGAAGACTTCTGAGGAAGTAGAAAACACATGAATCTTACTGTTCAATCACCCACACGCAACACTAGCTCATGGGTACCACAGATAACTTTGCCAAAGTTCTCTGCCAAAAATTGAGCACGTAAAGCTTGCAGCTCCCACTACATCGCTCTGACCAAGAAAGGTAAAAGAATAGCAAAGAAACAGCACTAACAAAGTTTAGACCCATAAATTTTGAAGGTCTAGCTACCATATTATTACCCACAAGGGTAAAGGAACAGTACCACTGCTGGATAATTGGAAAGTCCCTATGTCAACCTCTGTGCTTCGTGGCAAGGTAGACTAGTAAACATGCCCAACCTTTACTCACACTCGAGAAAACACTACCAATAAGATTGCTTGCTCCAAAATCGAAGAGGCACCGTCCTCCGAATCTCGAGAGCCAGACTCCCAACATGACTACTTTCTCAAAAATCGAAGAGAGGGTAAAGGAACAGTACCATTGCTGGATAATTGGAAAATCCCTGTGTGTCAACCTCTGTGCTTCGTGGCAAGGTAGACTAGCAAACATGCCCAACCTTTACTCACATTCGAGAAAACACTCCCAACAAGATTGCTTGCTCCAAAATCGAAGAGGCACCGCCCTCCGAATCTCGAGAGCCAGACTCCCAACATGATTACTTTCTCAAAAAATCGAAGTGACACTGCTCTCCGAATCTCGAGAGCCAGACCCCCATCATGATTGCTTTCTTAAAAATCGAAGATGCATCGTTCTCCGAATCAATCGAAGAGACGCTCGCTTTCTCAAAAGCTGGGCTGCTCAGAGACCACGAGGGCCGATCTCAGAAATCGAAGAGGCCCCTACTTTTCTAGCCTTGTCAGCACCTGTCACACGCACACTCAGCTTTGCGGAAATTATGGGCATTCTGTCGAAGACTTCTCGAGAGCACAGACCACTTTTTCAAAGTGCTCTGACAGAGTTAAAACATGTGAAGCTGGCAGCTCCCACTACCGTGCTATGACCAAGCAGGGTAAAGGAATAGCATTACTACTTGTTGTTAGGGAGACTCCTATATATGTCGACCTCCATCCCCAACGGACAGGCAGACCTGCAAAAATGTTCAACCCTTCCTCATATTTGAGAGGGCACTCCCAACGAAGCCTTTCGAAAAATATTCAGCTTTCTTTCCCCCCGATAATACCTTTGCAAACAAGCTATACTAGAGCAAGAAATATCTCATATCATCAGGGTTAAAAGCAAGAGTATCCCATATCATGCTTTTTCCCTGTCTTTTCCTTTGGCCTTGTTGTTACCTGCAAGACAAGGAGAAAGAGAGCAATCAGTCAGCACTTGGAATCAAGCTTCCAGCCAGGAACTGACTGCCTGGAACCCCTTACCTGATTACTTACCTGGCATTGCTCTCGAGTACTCATCTTCAACATCTTATGTTTCCAGGGAAGATACCGCATCTGCTTGAGGAACAGATAGGGCAAGTGCGAAGGATACAAGGAAGCATGTGGAGACAAGCGTAACAGCACACGTGCCAATACATCCATTACTCTGTCAAAAGCAAAAGTATCCCATATCAGCAGGGTCGAACGTACTCTAGATTTGATGGACTTGTTTTGACCCTCAAATTCTTCAGTCGGCTCTGGAGGAAACCAGAAAACCCTCCAGCTCAGTTCAAGAATAAGCATGTGGAAAGTTACTTCTTCAAAAGCAAAAGTATCCCATATCATCTCTTCTCATCTTTCTTCTCTTTATCCTTCATGCTGCTGCAAGATGGGGAGAAGGTGAACAATCAGCCGGAGCTCTGATTGCTTACCTTGTCTGTCACCTCTTTCAGCAGATCCCCTAGCTCGGCGACTTGGGAGACTCCTACTACATGGTTTGTATCGCGCTTGACCAAGCCTGAAACTACAAGTAAGCTTCAAGTGAAATTGATACATTACCTTGTGCATCTCCACCAGTTAAAGATACCACCCCTGGATGGAGGAAGAGTACTTCCAGAGAAGATGCCACATCTACCTATGAGACAGATAAGGCAAGTCAAGACGATACCACACTCCGATACTTAGAAGTTTCGTGATTACGAGATCATTCTCTCACAATATTTTCCTAATGTCATTTGTACTAAATCATTCACTTGTACTCACTAAAGGAGAGCTTGAACCTATGTACTTGTGTAAACCCTTCACAATTAATGAGAACTCTTCTATTCCGTGGACGTAGCCAATCTGGGTGAACCACGTACATCTTGTGTTTGCTCTCCTATCTCTATTCATTTATATACTTATCCACACTAATGACCGGAGCAATCTAGCGAAGATCACAAAAAAGCGACCGTTTTTGCTGCCTAGGATCTATCTTGCAAGAGAAACGGAGAATTAGATGGAGATCTCAACCATAGAATACGACCTGGACGGATGAAGTGTAAGAGTGCATCCGGCGTGTTATGTGACCGTCGTAGGCCACTGAAGCTCAAGGGAAAATTTTATAGGACGACAATAAGGCCAACGATGTTGTATGGCACAGAATGTTGGACGGTGAAGCATCAACACGTACACAAAATGGGTGTAGCGGAGATGAGGATGCTTCGTGGGATGTGTGGGCACACGAGAAAGGATAAGATTGGGCATGAGGATATCCGAGGTAAAGTAGGAGTAGCCGAAATTGAAGGAAAGATGAGAGAAAATCGGTTCCGGTGATTTGGACATGGGCAAAGAAGGCCGACTGACGCTCCGATTAGAAGATGTGACTACGGGACAGAGGTTCAGGGCCGAAGGGGTAGAGGAAGACCTAGGAAAACTTTAGAAGAGACTCTAAGAAAAGACTTAGAGTACTTGGATCGAACGGAGGACATGACACAAAACCGAGCGCAATGACGTTCTAGGATTCATATAGCCGACCCCACTTAGTGGGAAAAGGCTTTGTTGTTGTTGTTGTTGTTGTTGTTGGTAATTTTCCAAGTTATTTTAGTCTTCATCATTTGGAGGAATAACATCACTTCCATCTTTCAACTGTTACTAATTTATACAGAGACTTTATTCTTTTGACCTATTCTAAATGCATGATTAATCACTTGACTATACACTGAGTGGTTTAAGATGGACATCCAAAAGTATAAACAGAGATGCTACCACCAAAGATGCACCCTCTCCACATGCTTTAGCCAAATAACACGTTAGGAGTGGGGGTACCATTAAATCTAATTAATGAGTGATGGGAATGGTTTATGGATAGATTTAACAATTCCACCATTACTAAGGTGTTCTTTGGCTTAATTAAAGCTTGTGGAGAGGGTATATCTCTGGTGGGGACATCTATAGTCATACTTTTGGATGTCCAACTTAACCCCTTAGTGTGCAGGCAAGCAATTAGCCATGTATTGAGACCCGGTGAAAATAGGATAGTATGTATGTGTGTGTGTGTGTACATATATTGGTAGTAGTTAACTCCCCCAAAGAGAAACAATAGCAAACATTGAATTTAAACGCAAAATGCCAACGAAAGAAAACCAAGAAAATCTAAAAAATTTTACATACCATTGGATCCTTGCGAAACCTATTTGTTGAAGTTGTAGCTTGGATGTTGACTTTGTGATTTCTTCTCTCTTTTTTTAGTGTGTAATTGTTAGACAAAGCTTGTAACATCTTATTCCATACCTAGACACCAATCATGCAAACTTCATTCATTAGAATATGACTGATCTTTCTGAAATTCCATGAATTGTAATTTTTTACCAAAAAAATTGACAGAGGTCAATATCACACTCTCAACCAAACATTAAAAAAGTGGAGGGACAAAACAAACAGGTTTTAGTCCTCACTATAGTTAAATAGTTATGTTATTTGACAATTAAATAGCAGTGATAGGTATCATCTGGATTAAGAAAATTAGTCATTGAAGAATCTCCAAGAAATTATCAAAGTGGATTCAAATTTATAAAATTTTTATTGAAATAAACTAAAAAAAGTAATAGAAATCAAGCTAACCTGTGTTTGGTATATGGAAGATACTGGATCTCCTTTTGGCCTTTGTAAATGACATGTTGTTCATTGTGTACAAAGCTAAAAAAACACAGTAAAAATGTTAATCTAGGCCAGAAAAAGTATATATAGAGTGTATTATGTAAATATTTTCATATAAAGTAAGAATATTTAAAACAATTAATTGCAAACAAATAAAATTTCAAAGATAAGTCAGAGAAATCTTTGAAGCAGAGAAATATAACAAAAGTTTTTCCAATTGTAGCCATGCATAAACCACTAAAAAAAGCCAAGTATATTGACATAGCTGAAATGCTAACCAGAAGACATTAGGTTACGTGGATAAAAATGGATTCAAATAGAATTGAAAAAGGGTAGAAACAAATTTTTCGGATTGAAATTGACACATGTATAGCAAAGAACATTAAGTTTTAACTTTTAAGCATATCAACTCATGAAGCATCCCAACATATATATGGAAAAAGAATGATACAAATACCAGCATACACATGTAAAAGCAATTATTAACACAACTAACAAACATTTGTAAATTAAAAATTTTGCACTATTTAACAGCCCGACTCACCTTTCCCCTTTTTTTCTCAATTTGACCAAGAGCACTTTGCAGCTCATATAAAGTGCTTCCATACCAATTTGCAGCAAAAAGTGAAATTACAAATTAAACACACACAAAACAGTAAAAGTAAAGTATTTTTCTTTCCATTCAAAGCAATGCATAACTGAAAAAAGCATAATTGTAAAAAAGATTAAACTTTTTTTTTCAAAGCATATACAGTCTAAAACCCAACGTTTATAAACAGTCGCATTTTTTGTCAAAATTGTATTTGCTTTACCTCCATAAGTTTGATTTCTTTTCAGTGTTTTTTAGAGCTTGACAAAACCATGAAGAGACAAACAACAACACTCAACTGTTTTTGCAACCCTGTAACCAGTTACACAAATAAGAATGCAGCATTTCTATTAAAGCATGTAATTCTCCTCTTCCTATATTCTTCCCCTTTCTCTAGCTAAATAAAAATTTCCAAAACTATGTACCAAAAGCTCAAAAGTGGGATTCAAAGAGTCAAAATGTTCAAATGCTATATTTTTATTAGGACTTCATAGTCTATTTAACACTTGGTTTCTCGAGTAGTAAGTTTCCCATTCTTTGTCTAGTTAATTTCACACGCCTACAACAAATAAAATAGTTGAATAATTTCAGTATAATTACCAAATTTTGACCATTCAACGCTGAATCTCCTTTTTTATGTACCTACTAAAGTACACATATGAATATCAAAACAAAAACCTCCAATTATCATAGCATTCCCTTTCTATCTTTATTTTTGAAAAAGAAAACACAAATGGAAGAAAAAATTCCACAATTTGAACTTGTAACTCATAACCACAGAGAGTCAAAAGCACTTCAATTATGTAAGAAGGGAAAGGGGGTGCAAATAAGTGATGCTCAATTGAAATCACTGCCTAGTTGTCAACTCTTTAGTGAGTTTATCCCAATCAGCAACACTTTAACACATCACCTTCCAAAAACTCTGCATGTATACCACGGAATGAAAACACTTTATACTCCAACCAACTTAACCTAGATAACATATGAAGTCATCCAACAGTTGCAAGGGGGGAATGAAAACTGTATCTAATGGCACAACAACATAAAGTTATTTGTGGCAAATCTTACCATCATATGCGTCTCGAACCATTTGATATCTGACGAATCCTGAAAAAAAGAGTCAGCCGAAATCATGAAACCAAAAAATCAGAATGTTTACAAAGTATTCCTTGAAGCAAAAGCATGCGCGGGACATTCACTTAAAAAAATGAAAAGCTTTCAGTACCCAAATAGCTAAAAGCCGAGAACAAAAAAAAAAAAAACAGTACCTTTGCGGGTTTGGAGCTCTTTTCTTATAAATATTATAGTATTGGTGTGGCGCCTCAATTCGTGGTGTTTCCGTCGATAACAATCGAAGGTGGGGCAGCTGGTTTGGGTGAAGAAGAAGAGGAGGATCCAAGCCTACAAATAGAATCACAAAAACAAACATAAGCACAAAACCCATCTGCAAACGATCGGATCGGAATCGAAACGAAAGAGATAGAGAGATCTAAACAAAGGCAAACACAGACGGAGAGAGAGGAGAAAAGAAGAGGAAAGGGAAATGCCCAGATCAGAAAACCACCACAAAGAAAAAAAAGGCGGAAGCTGAGTAGAATACTCTTGAAGCGAATAGATCAATGATGAAAGACGCGTGGCCAACATGGGTAAAAGAGACTTTCCACTGCACAAAAAAGGAATCAATGCTTTGAGCCATGAAAAAACAGAGAGCATTTCCGACCAAACACTGATCACAAACAATGAAAAATAGTACCGGGGAAACCGAGTTTTAGTATAGATAAAATATTGTGTTGAGATTTCTTTTTCTGGTCAAATTCTTAGGATTTGGATCCTCTCCTGAGCTAATAGAGTGGATCCTCCTGACCAATCATCGTGGGCCATTGGATTTTTATCCAACGGTTATAATTATTATAACTTTAAAGAGACCCCCTTATTTGTAATTGTTGGATAAAAATCTAACGGCCCAAGATGATTGGTCAGGAGGATCCTCTCCATTAGCTCAGGAGAGGATCCAAATCCAAATTCTTAGTTCTTGCATATATGAATTAAATTAGTTAATCATAATAGAGTACGTATTCTTCTCTGTGCATTGTAATTCAAGTCTGTCTCCGTGTAAATTACAATAGTTAGTTTCGTTCTTATAAGAAAACAGAAAGTACAAAGAGAAGCCTTTGATGCATCCATATCTTAAAAATAAAAAAATTAATAAAAAATCCCAAAGCCAAGCTAATCGATTTTTTGGAGGAAAAGTATGTATCCAAACTCACCGATGGAAAGATGAATTAATGACCCAGAGAAATTAGGCATCCACAACAAAATTAGTTTTCTGATAAACGTGGCAGGAAGTAATGCTCCAAAATTGACAATAAAATTAGATCAACATTCATCAAATGAACTAATTAATCTAAATTGTAAAAAGTAAAACTAATTAATTTGAAAAATAAAAAAGCATTCCGCTGTACAAAGAGATAAGAATAATTCATAATTTAAAAAGGCAAACAGCCTTGCCTGTTTATTTAAGTAAATGGCCATTAATCCAATTGTTCCAAAACTAAGAACAAACAAGGGAAAAGAAAGAGCATAGAAAACCAACAATAGCAACATTACCACCACACAAGAACAACATTATACTCCACACATCCTAACAAATTTAATCATATAACAATGTTAATTCGTACTTAATTAGTACTATAAAGAGCTTGTAATTAGCCCCCAAATCTTATTCACATTCGAAGCCAGGAGGGACTGTTTTCTGGCATGCACTAACAAGCAAGCTCAAAGCAACTGGCACTTCCAAGTTGACAAGCCCTTGGGCATTGGCCTTAGCCACAGGCGTTCCTGACTCGAGCACACAGCTCCCCGCAGAGTTGACACTTTGGTTGACTGTCGGGTTCTTACTTTGTTTGTCGGGCTGCAAGAAGAGGATATGGTTAATTCTGAAAGGTGCCTTTGTCGGGCCTTAAGTATAGGCCGTGAGGCTCGCAGTCAAAACTAACTTAAGTGTTGAGACGTGCCACTACCATCTCAATATGGCAGATGTGAAATGAGTGGATTTAAGTCGATTACTTGCGCCCCAAGTTACTCTAACTTCTCATTATCAAAGGATTGTCGTGGATGGGTTAAGTCCACATTAGATTCTTTTCTATGCCTTGAGATCAAGGACTTTTGTATATCTTGTATGGTAAAAGGGCAGAGGTCCAGGTCTAATCACAGCATTAAGTGGATCCACTTTTAAGATAGTGAAACCCTTTAAATTAAAACCAGATCCGAGAGTAAGCTGAACTTTGGATCATTAAAAGACCTAAAATGATTTGAATACATACTAGGGAATTCATTACAACACTAGATCTATTAAGTAAAAGACAAAATAAAGGGAATTGGGCAAGATTGAACCTTGTCGGGCAAGGCTAGACCTTTCACTGTTTCTTTTCTTTACCACTACAGGGGTCTGAGGGTTTCAAGGGAGAATGGATGACAAATAAAGTTACAAGAGAAATCGATACTACTTGGTGAGCAGCAGAGCTATTAAACTAGACAAAAGATGGCTTTTGTGAGAGCTGATCCTGAAAAGGATTGAGGTTGGGGGCTGACTACAGCTTCGTATGCAAATCTGGCTTAAGCAGAGTTTGTATATTTGTTTGTTTGATTGGTTGAGTGTCCTTGTCTCTGGGCCCTCTTCTTCCTTTTATAGGCAAATTAGCCTAACTGCTTGCAGCTTGGTTCCTGGCCAAAAGTAGCTGAGGGGTAGTGACTCATCAATAATTTACGTACTCTGCCATTCAGAAAATGCTTTTGGGCTGAGAGTAGATTGATTTCTATCAAATGTCACTTCTTTCAAGCCATTAGCCTTTGCATTAAATGTGGAATCATCATTTTGCCTTGGGCTGGGCGAATGGTTTTGATGCTGGGCTTGGTTCTTGTTGGGCTTTTGTTCATTTGGCCCAAAGTTTAAATATTAACCCAAACAGGACCTTTAAATTTGGTGTTTGATTTCCGTGTAATTTTGTTTGGGATTGGATATTCTTATGCAAAAAATTGAAAGTAATGTGGTCTAGTTACTGTTTGGTCCACATGAAATTGGATAAAATTGTCGGATGCTGCGGACTACTGCTTTGAGTTTTTATTGCAAAAAAAATAGGCGAATTGAACATCACTTTTTGCCCTGCGGCAAGTAATCCGGACTTGAGTTTCAGCAAAGGTGGTAAAAGTTGAAATGCGTTTGGGAATTAAGGAGGGTTTTGTATGTAACTTGCATGAATTTAACGAGGATTAAGTTTTTATAGCCCAGTCTAATGTTTGTGAGGCAAGCTCTTGTCCAACCCTTGTTCCGTATGGGCCAAGTGACGTTTGTTTTGGGTTTCAAATAAAGTAGAACTAAGAGCATCTCTAAAGAATGAGTCAAAAAATCTACATTAGCAATAACTATAAAATAAGACAACATTTTTTTTGCCCAACTCAAATGATAATTCCTATGTAGCATGATGTGAATTGACATCAACAGTGGTTGCTAATAAATTTGACAACAACTTCAAATCTATTTGTAGTGAGAATAAATGCGTTTTAATATCTTTTATTATTCTTGCAATTCCAAGGCAAGAGGAGGTTATATAGGCTCAAAAAGCTACCTCAATTCTCTGCAATTAGGTGATAAAAATATGAGGATATTTTCAAACTGTTGCAACCATTCGGAAAAGGAGAAACTAAATTAAGAGGATAAAGGATAGCAGTAGGTTTTGGTGGAATGTGGGTGAGGGGCTTGAATAGGTTTGTGTGCAGGATTTTAAATTGCGGTTCTCTTGTGATTGCCTTCCTTCACTCACTGATATTTCCTCTATATAGCTAATATCATCAACCTTTGCATTGACAACCAACATAATGACATGTTACTTAAGCATGTGGAGGATATTGAGATTTGGGAGGCAGTCAAGAGCATTGGGGCGTTGAAGGCACCAGGGCCAGAGGGAATCAGTGCAAGTTTTTATCATGAATGTATACCATCAAAGATCGGTAAATGCAATGGTAAAGGATTTCTTTAAAAATAGTACTAGCTTAAGACTTATTAATCATACCAATATAGCTCTTATTCCTAAAGCGAGAATCCTGAGATGGTAAGTAATTATGGACCGACTAGCCTTGGTAATGTAAGCTATAAAATAATGAAGAAAATTATTATTAATTGGTTAAGGCCCCTTCTTGATTCTTGTATTTTTGAGTGTGTCACACTCCAACCCGCGAATAGTCTGTTCACAAGTTAGGGTGTGAGCCATATTTAGCTATAGAAATAAATTATTTGGTGAGGAAAAATAAAAATAAAATTTAGGGTTAATCTCATTTTACTACCATGAAATTTCTTGGTTTTTAACATTTGGTACAAAAAGTTTTTTTCATCCCAAAGTGGTACCTAAAGTTATAATTTTGGGACATTTTTTTATATCCGTTAAGATTGTTATTAAATCGGCCGTTAATTGGTGACGTGGCACCCACGTGGACAATAACTGGATGTCACGTATCAAAATGGGCCCATCTAAAAATTAATAAATTAAAAAAAATAATAATAATCTAGGCGTCGTCATCCACCTCACCTCACATGCCGCTCCTACCCAACCCCCCCCCCATTATTTCTTATGGACCCACCTAATTCCGACTCATCCCCTGAAACTTCAATTGTTCCCGATCCGATTCTCCAAATTGTTCTCGATTAACCCTAATTTTTGTTGGATATAAGTCAACAATCTGTGATTTAAATATATATGCTAATAAACAATAAATGCAATAGGAAATAACAGAATATAAACTAGAATACGAATTATAAAAACAGACAACTTGAAGATCGAGACTTGCGTACCGCAATGTCCTTGAAACAGAAATTTCGTCCCTACTCAGTGCTTGTAGTTCTACGGACGTCTGCTTCACCAGGATTCAACGATCTAAGTCAGAAATTCCAGCACCGGAAAAATTGACTTCTGGCGAATATTAATGTGGTTCTCTCAGAAAGGATGTTTATGATTGCAGGAGAAGATTTATGATTTTTTTGTATCCTAAATGCCATGCACATGGATGTATATATAATGTGATTATACCTGTTCGCAACAGGTATGAGGAAGGGATGCATATGTTGGGACACATCTGCTGAAAAGGGTGTTTTTGTTTCTGCGTTTTCACACTTCAAACTTCATCTAAAAAGATGAGTCTGTTGGTAAAAATAATTAATTAATTAATTTAAATTCGAAATTAAAAATAATTAATTAATTCCGAAAGTAATTAATTAATTTAATTATTAGAGCCCAAGAGCCTCAAGGCCTAAGGCCCATCTTTTGACAATTAAATATATATTAATTATATATTAATTATAATTAATTATATATATTAATTACCAATTAATTAGTAAACCCCAAAGCCCAACCCCAAAGGTGAGCCCAATTTTAGTCTCCAGACCTATTACTCCAATCACTTTCTATAAAGGAAAGTGATAAAATCTTTTGGGAATGGCCAATGTGGGACAAAGAAATTTCTACTCAAACTACTCAAATTTCCAACAATTTTGGCAAACCCTAAAGGCGCCGATCCCCTAAATACCATCGCGGAGAGGATCGATTTTACAACCTGGCGCGAGAGCTCGTAACCAGAAGGCGGAAG